ATGCATAAAGAAATAACTCATTCATGCATCCATTCATTCAGTTCTTGTGGAGTAGTTTTGTTAATAATTTTGTGTAATTGTTTACAGTCCCAGCAGAATATTTCTGTCACCTTGACCATCAAGGGCTTCGGGTTGACATATGTGAAAGACCAGAGCTTCACCTTGGCTCATATGAATTTGTTGCAACAACAGACTATTGCAAGGTACTGTGGGTAACATAGAGCTTAATAAATTATCACTTTGAAATTCTTTGAAATAGTCTAATTCCAAGTTTTTGTTCACTTTCAAAAACTATTTACATATCCATTTTTAACTCGGAGATTGCGTAGCAATCTTAGAGTTATTGGGAGGGGACAGCTGGCACTCGCTCGATCACTTTCCTGTAAACTCGAGCCTGCAATGTCTTTGTCAGCAGTTATTCATTTAATCATATTAATGTATTCTACTTAATTATTATTATTTATCATATCTAATTTTTCTTTACTGGTTTCCCTGTGCTATATCTGATTGAATTTGATTTATTTTTTGGCAAATAAAGAAATCAAAGAAATGGGTCACCTGGGATCTGAACCCGGGCCCTCTGGATTGGAAATCAAAGGCACTACTGATTAGGCCACGCGTGCTAATGTTACATTGCATCGGGTAGACTTGTGTTTTAACTGATGGGCGCTCGCCCGTGCTTGTCTAGAATTCAAAGTTAAAACTATAAGATTTTAATGAAAAAATCTGCATTCAAATGTCGTTTACTTAAAATTCTATTTGTAAAGTAAATCTAATTTGATTCGTTGTATTGTTCAGTCACAAAGGAAGCATGAGGAAGACTCGCCGATCCGACATTAAATTCGTCTCGAAAATCATTTTAYKTSTGTTTTATTTATCCACGTTCGTCTACAATTCAAAAAATATATTCGCTCGCTACCGTACTATTACATTTTAATATTTGATATATAGTTCATTGTGTGGCTAGACATCGATAATGCTATTTTGAGCCGCTACGGAAACTGGCAAACAATAAAAGCAACGGTGCGTATAGTTGGTCGGGGATTCAATTGAACCAACTTTCAGTTGTTTAATTAACCGTTACAGAGTAAGCATTCTTAAAAGAATTGCTGGAAAAAAATAATAAATAATAATAAAAAATAATAATAAAGAACAAAAAAAGAAAAAAAAACATATGATATCATTTGGGATTTGAACCGTGACCTCTTGATCACTAAGCCTGTGTTTTAACCACTAGGCCACTATGTCAAAATTTATATAAATGTGGCTAAGACTGGGATTTATTTCGCCGTCACTCGCCGTGCTTATCAACACAGCCGAAGTTAAATAGGATTGTAACGAAAAAATTTCATAAATCGTTTACTTAAAATTGTAATTGTTAAAGTAATTATAATTTGATTCATCGTACATCTATCGTTCTGTATCAATCTCCGAGTTATGCTGCCATTGATGATATGTCAACTAAGGTTTTGATTTGTTTTTGTTTCTAGGACCAAAAGCTACCAGGTCCACCAGCATACATCTTCATGATTGATGTATCCTACCAAAGTGTACAGTGTGGCATGGTTAGAATGCTCATGAAGGAACTTAGTGAATTACTTGATCATCTACCA